GCATATTGTGATGGATTTTACATAATATACCAAGGACCTCAGGTTTGTTTTTGAGACAATGAAGGACATATGAGGAATTTATATCGGAGTAGCAAAAAAAATCTCTCTGATTCCTACCACTTTTTCTGCTTCCCATATATCTTGGGGGTAATGGCTTTAATCAGTAGAACGGATTATCTTTTGAGCAGGATATTCTTACAAGTTCCTCCTTCCATTATAAGAAAGAGCTCAACTGACTGTTGTATTGAATATATTCCACTGAGCTGACAGCATATAACATATAAGGAAATTTGCCCTTATGCTGCCAGGAAATTCCATTCACATGTTACGGAGAAACAGAATTAAAGACCAACCAGTGCAATTGTTACGACACTACTGATCTCAGTTTGAGCTTGAAATTCATTGTATCTAGATTGTCAATTTTTTTTTTTTTTTTGGTGGAGGGTGGGGAGGGGTTTCCCGTAAAGATAGGAAATCCTGCTAGACAAATTCTAAAAGAGCTGTAGCATTTCGTATCATCAATATAACTACTTATTTTCTGAATTAGTTACAAAGATAGAACCCTCTTTTCAAACATATTTTATTTTTTTATTGGAAGAGAAAACTTTTATATATTGCTTTTTAATTCTTGTTTCAGGGATATATGAAAGCTTTGAATGGATTTGTAAAATTAGGTCTTATAAACAGAGAAGCGTTTCCTGCCTTTAGACCTGAGGCCAACCCTCTCAGCTGGGTGAGTGACTCTGGAATTATGTGCTATCTGCTGCTCTTCAGAAATGACTTCTGAAATGGTCAGGGGTGAATTCTGCTTTGGACCAACAAAAGAACCCATTTTTTAGCTTATATGCAGGAAGATAAATCCTAATTCCAAAGTTCCCTTTCTCTTCACTGTTACGGAAGAATAGAGAGGGTGTGGTGCTGACACGTAGCTGGCCTGTTTCCTGTAGCAACTTATACCATTTGACGGCTCCTTGAGCTGCGATAAGAGATGCATTTGCTCTCTGCATTAAGCTCTGGTCTCTTCCAGTTGTCTAAGAGGTGACCCAGTGATGGGAGTCACTTGGGCTTCCTGAAAGTGAGAATCCAGCAGAGTTAGTAGTGTATTACAGAACTGGATTCTCAACCTCCAAATTTTGTCAACACTCTCATTTGGCTTCTTATAACCATGAGTGATTTGAGTTTCAGTTACAGAACTTTTGCATCTATCTGTTGTACCAAAATCTTAAGACCTCAGAGTTGGAATGAACTTTGGAGGCTTGGGACTGAATGTGAAGTAGAGCTTCCACTAACTGCTCAGAATTAGCTCCTTACCAGCTGGTCATTCAGTTTAAACTAGTGTGCCCATATTCCAATAGAAATGCCAGAAATGTATCACAAGGAGAAAAGGACCAATGTTGCTAATTCCATTCCATCTCAAAAAGGTTTTGGCATTCTTGCTAGCTAGTTTAAAAAAATTTTTTTTAAAGTTTTTATGGGTACATACTAGGTATATATATTTATGGGGGACATGAGATATTTTGAAATAGGCCTGCAATGTGTAATAACCCCATCAGGGGTAAACGAGGTGTCTACCACCTCAAGCATTCATCATTTCTTTGTGTTAGCCAGTTGCTTTTGCATTCATTTTGTGTGTGTGTATGTGTGTGTGTGCATTTGTGAATCTAAGTGTTACCTTTCACAAATTTACTTGTTGGATAGGAGTGAATAAATGTCTACAGAGGGAATCTGGGTTGAAGCAGCTGGCTTGGGAAGGTTGGTGCAGGCATTCTTAGGGATGGTCTTTTTTTGTAAATCACCAGATTGTAAATGCTTTAGACTTTACAGGCCACATGGTCTCTGTCAGTACCACTCAGTTCTCCCATAGACAATACATAAATCAATGAGCATGACAGCATTTCAATAAAATTTTATTTAATAAAACAGATAGTGAGACAAATTTGGTCTGTGAGCCAGTTTGTTGACTCCTGATCTAGAGCATAGCATTTCCTTTGGGAGCCTAGAAAAAGTCTTGTTTTGAAAGTAGAAAAAACTGGTGACTGTTTAAATGTTCTTCCTTTGAGATTTTATTACCTGCAAGGTCTTTCTCATCTCTTGAACCTACAAAAGAACCTGAGTTGCTGCTGGCAACCACTGCAGTAAGCCTTTTCCACTTTATCCTGGTCAAAATGGACTGCTGGAGGGTAGGGGGAGAATGGGTTAAAAAAAAAATGATAGGATATACAAAGGCAGGAAATATGTGGTAAGAATTGCACCATCTGTTTTGTATTGAGTTGATCTTAAGACCCATTTTTATTGCTGAAATATTCTGGCATAGCATCCATTTAATAATTATAGGTGTGCAGATGTGTGTATGTACGTGTATGTATTACAATTTCCTATTTTCAATTATTTTTAATTTTAAAATTTGAGGTATATTTAAAGTTCAGTGTTTTAGTAAGATAATTTTTCAGTTAATTAAAAAAAAAATTGATAGGGACTTAGAAATGTTGTCTTTATTTTTCTGACCAGAAAGAACTCCTGTGTGACCTAGTTGGGATTTCACCCTCCTCTGAACACAACGTGTTGAAGGGTGCTGTTCTTAAGAAACTAGGAGGAGACAATACCCAGCTGGAGGCTGCCGAATGGTAGGCACCCACCACTCAACTTAGAGCAAAATATGTTGGATCAATGATTGTTAATTTCTACTCAAACAAAAGTTAAATATTTTACATTTGTCTTTTATTAATTTGTTGCTCTAATGTGGGTAGAGACATTACCATGTGCCATGTTCATGTGGGCATAAAGAATAGATAAAGACAGGAGTTCAATGACAATTATAATTTGAGAAGTACTTATCTGGAAACACTTTACCACTCAATTCCCAAGCAAAGTGGGATATTTTTGCTTTCCTGTAGGAGATTCTCTGAGTAGTCAGAGAATATTACTTTAAAACATTCTTTCATACGACTCTGTGGCATCCTGCTGGTACACTTAATGTTGGAGAACTAACCTATAACTTATAAAGAGCTGTGTAAGAACATGGGGTTACAATGCATTATCTCTGCCCTACTCCAGGAAGCAGTGGCTGGGTGAGTCTGGAGATGATTTTGAAGGTTAAAACATTGCTATTCTTATTGTAATTTTACATTTTAGGAGAATCTACAACTTGAGTTACTATCTTGTAATTCTTCCCTTTCAAGATTAAATTCAAGGAGCTCCCTTTTGCTTCCCAAATGAGAACATGTATAGGACTTGAACTAATGCAGCCCTCTCTTGTGCTTTTCAGGTTGGGCTTACTTGGGGATGAACAGGTCCCTCAGGCGGAGTCCATTGTGGATGCCCTCTCCAAGCATTTGGTCATGAAGCTTTCCTATGGTAGGCCATGAAATATTAGATAAATATACCTGAAGAAGAATCATAAGGTAGAGTCAGTGCAGATAATTGTACTGGAGGGTTGGCGCCAAGCAGCAGGAATGGAAAGAAAAAGGCAATTGGACTCTTTCTTCAGGGGGAGGAATTCGAGAATTATTAGGCAAAAATGAACTTTGTTAATATGAGAAAGGAAAAAATAGTTTTACTTTTTATTTTTAAAGCATTAGGCAAATGCCAAAGAAGCATTTTTGAAGCATAGTAAAAGGCTTTTATAGCAGTGCTTTTGTGTCTGTAAAAAGGGTGCAGTGATGCCAACCTGGATAAAGGAATGAGATCACAGTTCTAATTTCCTTGAGTTTTTCACTTTGACTTTGGGCTAAAAGCTGTGTAAATAATTGTCTAGTGATCACATATAAAAGGAGGGAAAACTTGTAAGACCAGAAGGGCAGAAGCAGAAAATGATTTACAAGATTTGAGTTGAAATGGTAGTGGCATTTTTACTTGTCTTTATTTGTTTTAAGGCCCTGAAGAAAAAGATATGATTGTGATGAGAGACAGCTTCGGAATCAGACATCCTTCTGGACATTTAGAAAATAAAACGATTGATCTTGTGGTTTATGGGGACATCAATGGCTTTTCAGCCATGGCTAAAACTGTGGGGTTACCCACCGCCATGGCAGCCAAAATGTTGCTTGATGGTAAGTCTGTTCATTTGAGGACTGAGTCTGTCTCCATATCACCCCAAGTCATTTGGTGTGGGGACATCAAGTCGTTGCTCTTGAGCATAACACAGGCATTCACTAAAAGTGAGCCGTCTTAGAAGATGGAAGTGCTGACTGCCTGGGAGGTCCCCTTGTGGTGAGTAAAGCATGTGGCCTTTGGAGATAGACCTGATTTCCACCCTAGCTGAATTGCAAGGTGGCTGCATGATGGGCTGCAAGTTACTCAGCACCTCTAAGAGTTTCCTTTTCTTTAAAGCGGGTATTGCCATCCCTATTTCATAGAGCTGTGTGACACTTAACTGATATAATACATAAAGCTGCTACCATATAGATGGTCCCCAGGTAATGGCAACTTCCTTCCTTTCTTTCCTTTTTTTTGGTCATGTTGAGAGTGGTAACTCTAAAAAAAGATATTCACCCCAGATTCTCAAGAATGTAGGTTAAGTTTTACTGTCTTTGTATCTCAGCATATTATTAATACTCAATAAATATTTTAGACTAAAGGAATACAAATTTCAATTCTCCACTCGCACTAGAAGATCACATAGACATTCAATAAGCATTGCCTCTGTTTGGCCCTTGAGAAAGAATGAAGGAAGTAGAAAATGTCAAAGCATATAAATGTGAAATGATGAGAAAACATGTATAATAGCATATCAGCTAATGTCAAATTAAATGACCAACTTAGTTATTGAGGAATCAGCGAAGAAGTAAGTGACAAAAGTTGGGATTATTGTGTCCTCTAATGAGAGTGCCCAGGTTCTGTGTTTCAGCCATACTAACAGGTACCTGTGCCCATATAATCAAACTTGTTATAACTTATTCTGTTGGTGTCTTGACTTTTTTTAAAAAATGACATTAGCAAGTTAAGCTGACCAATCAGATTTACTTTACTTCTTACTTTATTCTCTGATTGTCTTGGTAGTAATTAGTGCAGGTAAGTGTACAAATTCCTACAGTATCTCTAGGTCCAGCTGTTCTTTCAATCTAAAATTGACTCCTTTTCCTTACAAAGTGTTGACTAAGTAATAATTTACTAAGGGACATTTAAGCAGCTACTTAAAAAATGCCTAGGCCTCCAAGAATTCATTGACTCTGAGTTTGCTTCTAGGGTGACACCTTCTTTGTGGAGACTCATGTATGTATGTGTCTTTGCCAAAATGCTATTTTATGCCCTTTTTGTAAAGTTACAATTTATTTAGTAAATGTAGTTCCTTATACTTTTCTCTTGAGTGTTTGGAAATGAGAATAGATAACACTGAATCACAGTTTACAAGATCACCTCATTAGGCACAGAAAAAGTGTTTAACAAAATACAACACCCTTTCACAATAATAACAAAACAAAACAAAACAAAATGAAACACCTCAATAAACTAGGAATAGAGGAAAACTTCCTCAACCTGATAAAGAACATCTATGAAAAACCCACAGCTAGCATCATACTTAATGGTGAAAGATTGGATTATTGCCCCCTGAGATCAGAAGTAAGACAAGGATGTCTGTGTTGCCCATTTCTATTCAACTTGTACTGGATAGTCAAGAAGGGGCAAGTAGACAAGAAAATGACACAAAAGACATCAAGATTGGAAAGGAAGAAGTGTAAATAAGTAGAGATGGGAGATGATATGGTGATTTTATGCATATGAATCCAAAGGAAATCTGTAGAAAATCCAAAGACATGATCTACAAAAACAAAACATTAGAAATAATGAATAAATTCATTACTTCTAATGAATTTATTCATTAGAAATAATGCAAATTCACAGGATGCAGGATTAAATATACAGAAATTGGTTATCTTTTGATACAGTATCAAGGAATAAATAAAAAATGATATTAAGAAAACAATTTAATTTTCAACAGTAGCAAAGCTTGGTAGCTCGTGCCTATAGTTCCAACCCTTTAGAAGTTTGAGGCAGAAAGGCTAGGGGTGAGGAGACCAGCCTGGGAAACAGTGAGATCCCATCTCTACAAAAACAAACAAACAAACAAACAGCTGACTGTGATGACATGCATCTGTGGTCTCAGCTACTCAGGAGACTGAGGTGAAAGGATGGCTTGAACCCCAAAATTCTGGGCTGCAATGAGCTGTAACTGGATCACTGCAATCCAGCCTGGATGACAGAGTTAGACCCAGACTAAAAAAAAAAGAAAAAAAAAAGAAGGTCTAGAAATAGTCCTCACATTTATGGTGAACTGACTTTTGAAAATAGTGCTAGGACAGTTCAGTGATATTCTTTTTCATTGAATGGTACTTGGAATTGTTGATATCCATATGCAAAATATTGAAATTGGACTCCTACCTCATATTGCATATAAAATTAACTCAAAGTTGACTTTAGATCTAAATGTAAGAGCTAATGCTATAAATATCTAAGAAGAAAACATGGCATAAATTTTCCTGACTTTGAATTAGGCAATGATTTCTTAAATAAATGACACTAAAATCACAAGCAACAAAAGAAGAAAATAGGTAAATGTGACATCATCAAAATTAAAAACATTTGTGTTTCCAAGGACACTATCAAGAAAGCAAAAATACAACTCACAGAAAGAAATTTTTTAAAATCATGTATTAGTTAATGGAGGAATTTGTATTTAGAATATATAAAGAACTGTTGCAATAACAGTTAAAGGCATATAATTTGATTTTTAAAAATTGACAAAAGATCTGAATTTACAGTTCTCCAAAGAAGATATACAAAAGGCCAATAAGCACATGTAAAGATTCTCAACTTCATTTTCCATCAAGGAAATGCAAATAAGATCTCCAATGAAATATCACTTTATACTTACCAGAATAGTTATGTAGTTAAAGAGATAATATCAAGTGTTGGTAAGGATGCAGATAAATTGGAACCCTCGTACACTGTTGGTGGATACTCAAGAAATATAAAAACAAATGTCTACACAAAAACTTGTGCACAGATGTTCTTTGCAGAATTATTCATAATAACCCAAAATTGAAACAGCCCTAATTTCCATCAACTAATAAATGAATAAACAAAATGTGGCATATCCATACAAGGAATATTATTCAGCAATAAAACATGAGATGAAGTACTGATGTGCACCACAACATAGACAAACCTTGAAAAGATGCCAAGTGAAGAATGCCAGACTCGAAAGGCCACATATTATATGATTTCATTTATATGAAATGTCCAGAACAGGCAAATGTATATAGAGAGAAGGTAGATTAGTGGTTCGTTAGGTTGAGGGGTTGGAGAGGAAAATGGAGTGACTGCTGATTAGTATGGGGTTTCTTTTTGGGGTGATGTAAACGTTGTAGAATTGATTGTAGTGACGGTGGCACAACTCTGAATGTACTAAAAACTACGAATTGTATACTTTGAATGTTTGAACTGTGTGGTATGTGGATTTTATCTCAAGTTGTTATAAAAGAATTATAAATACAATTTGTTTATTTGCTTCTTGGGGAAAAATCTCTTGCCTTTAGAGATACAAAGTAAGCACCTGTTTGACCTTCACAAATTGTGCTCGTATCCTGGCATGTGAAACTAATTCTGTCCTCGACAGAAGCAGGTACTATGTGTGAGGTATATGATAGTTGAGAAAACATCTCCTGCTATTTGAAAACAATCAAAATTGATTAAGGCCTGGTCCCACCTATCACAGATAATATATGAAGATCAATAATCTATTAATAAGTAAAAACATTTTGTTGTGGAATTTTTTTTCTTACCATGACATTCAATTCAACTCAATGGATTAGGAAATACATCTTGTATAATATTGATTTCACACTCTGAAACGATGCCCAGATTAATTGAGAACTCATAAACTAGCACCTTGTGTAGAAAAGGGGACCTAGTTAGTTCTCAGTGTAATTAATTGGTTTGTGCTTTATGATGACAATGAGAATTAAAGGGCATTTGATTTGTAGAGCTGATCAAATGTTAGTGTTGGTGGTCATAGAAAAGGCAATGTCAGTACGCTTGAATATAGCTATATGTAATTAAACACTACATTATCCCTCAATAATAAATTTTCCTGCAGAACCTTTAATGATAAAGGTGGTGGTGATAAGGTTTGGGAATGAATGAGCAGATTATGGTTATAAGCATATGAATATAGACCTTTATCAGGGGTCCACAATTTTTTTTGTGTGAAGGTCAGATATAAACATTTTAGGTTTTGCTGAATAAAGATATCACAGCTGCTCATTTCTGCTTATATATTGTGAAAGCAGCCATAAACAGTACATAGACAAATGTGTATGGCTGTGTTTCAGTAAAACCTTATTTGTAAGAACAAGTGATAGGCAGACTTGACCCTCGAGCCAGTTTGTGGATCTCTGGTCTTACCATTCTGGTAGACTTAATGCTCACATCTTTCAGATCTTTCTGCCTCTTTTGCTCTTTTTTAGATAATACCAATATTAGTGTTATCCATTTTTCCTTGTTCTAGATTAATGAGACACTAGATCATACTAGACTCTGATCGGCTCTACAACATACTAGCTATTCTCTACTTTATGAAATGAGGATAACAGTAACTCCCAAGATGATTATAAAAATTAATGAGAAAGTGGAAGAGAAATGCTTGCCACTTAATAGATGTTAAAACACGAGTGGGTTGTTCTTCCCTTTTTTACAATACAGTTTTTGCCTGAAGTTAATGAGATTTTAACTTTGATTTTTTTTTTCAATTTGTTGGATACCTTTGGAAGACTCCTCAAAGATCCATGCTGCTTAAACAAGTCATAGATTTATCTGCTACCTAAGGTGGTTGAAGAGGTGAAAAAAAACCACAACAATCATTTGGCCAAGCCTCTGATTTTACACAACAGAAAATGTGCCTCATAAAGTTAAATGACTTGCCTGAGGTGACAAGACTTAATATTGAAATTTGGTAATCATTTGGAAACACTCAAAATACTTGATAAAATTTGGGAGCACCCTGATTTTTAAAATATCTAGGATGGCTAACTTAGGGCCACCACTAGCCTCTATGGTGTCTTTTTGAAAATTAGAACAAGGCATTCCTTCTTTAAGACACTGCTACTGGTCAAAAAATTGTTACCAAATGTACAATTTATTAGCACAAAACACTTTACCCTCTAATGGAAAATTGCCATAATAAATACAGAAATCTTCAATGTCTATGATATGATTAGTTCACCCTTAGATGCAATGCACAATTTGCACAGCTGTGCAAAGTAGATAATCTTATCTTTATATTTTGTATACTATTAGCTTTCTTTATAATGGCTTACATTTGCTGATTGTTTGCAGAACTACATCTGCCAGATCTGAATTCCAGTGAAAGGAATCCAGTGAGAAAACCTGGCTGTTCTGGAATGATACTTGTTATACCAACAGCTCATCTGATAACTTATTTTTTCCAATCTTGTTTTAGTCCTAATGCCCATTCTTAATTTTCATTAATTAACAAGAATTACAAAACACAGTCCTATCTTGTTGAATTAGGAAGTTACATCACCCCCAATTTGTCAGTGTAGTAAAATAGAAGGTTTCTAGTACCTTCTAGTTTCATGTTAGTTGAAAATGTGTGCTACATCGCCTGCTAACAAATTCATCAACCCTGGGAATCCCACGTCCAGCCTGAGAGCCTTGTGAAGCTGCATTGATATTGCACTCCTCTTTATTATATTGGCAGCGATTCTGGACTGTTGCCAGGCCCAACTAACCAGACCTTTGGCTCCAATAATCTGGGCCTGGTTCACAGTGAAGCTGGCACAAGGTAAAACAAGCCGCCATAGAAACCTCATAACCCAGACGAAGAAAAAACATGCTCGCCTTAATAGCAGACTATTGATAAATGGAGATTTGTTCTTCTTAAGTTGAGAGAAATAATTAAAAGAAGGTAGAAGCCAAATGGGAGCTGAGAAAGAAACTGAAATGGTTACTGTAAAACCTAGGGAAGGCCAACAGAAAAGATGAGAGAATAGCAATTCCCAGGGGCATGGATTGTTAAAATACTTTTGAAATGTTGAAAATATTTGACTGGCACAGTGATTCTATTTAGTTCTGAACTATGAGTCTGGTGAGAATTGTGCAAATAGTTCATTACATAAGATACTTAATGGAGATGGTGTTGCTTTGCATCCTCTTATTCATCTGTCCATATGTTAATTGTTGATGTGTTTCAGATTTCTTTCCTGACCTGTTTTTTTTTTCTATGTGTGTTCTCTCTGGATGCATGCATCCTACCCATGGCCTTGAATACCATCTATGTCTTAAATCAGTCCCAAACTTTCTCACCTGAGCTTCAGATTATCTCTACAACTATCTACTTGACATCTCTGTCCAGATAGTTCCAAGAATTCTTAAACTCAACGTAAATTTAACAGCTTATACTATAAATTTGTGTTTCTCAATGGGGCCACACTAGGTCCCCTAAATGAATCCTCTGTGTGATTACTGATTTCAGGAACTGGCAACTGCTATCACCCTAGTTGCCCTCTATATAATCCTTGATGCCCTCTTTTCTGTCACTTCCACATTCACCAAATCAGGATTTCTTCCTCTTTTCTATTAAACTTATTGGCTCCATGCAAGTCTTTCTACCCACAAACAACTTGTCTCCTTCAGGCTGCTATTATATTTTATGTGAGTCATTGTGACAGTTTTTCACCTGGCCTCCCTGTCTCCAGAATTACTCCGCTAATGACCATTCTCCTCACAGTAGACACATTGATCTTTCAAAACTGCGAATATGGTCATGTTCTTACTCTCAGTTGTCTCCCCATTCCTCCCACGATAAAGTTCAGACCTCTTAGAGCCTCCAGGGCTCTGCGTAAACGTCCCTCTGTATATCTTTATAGTCTCATCTCATCACTGCCCACCTCCTTACAAAATATTATCCAATTCCTGAACTTTCTTCACCTCCTTGAATAGGCTTGCTCTTTCTTGCTTTTGAGCCTTTTCTGATAATGTTTCTTTAAACCAAGATACTCATCTCCCCCAGAACTTTCACCTAGTTAACTCCTAGTCCTCTTTTTCAGTTGTAGCTGAGAGGTTACTTCCTTGAGGATTTGCAAGTGTGAGTTAGGTATTTTTAAAGAACCCTATACGATTTTTTTTTTTTTTCGCAACACAGATGACTCTGTGATCTCATTGACTGGAGGCTTTTGAAAATATGTAGAAGATTTTTGGTTGTTACAGACTCAGGGCAGGGTGCTGCTGACAACTGGTAGGTGAGGGCCAGAGACAATAAATCCCCGCCGAGAGAAGCCACTCAGAGCAATCAGTTTCCTTGATTTATTAAGTCATCATATAACTGTAAAACCATTTCAGATACCTTTGCATTGTAATTTGCTTTGATGATAATGATTGTGTTAATATTATCATCCCTTTCAAATCGTGGGTAGGTCTATTAGTGCATTGATAAAAGCAGTCTTTGATTTCCATTTCCAAGGTTAAAAAATAAATAAATCCCCACTAAGTCATACACCATAGGGGCAAAACTATTTCTAGCACACCTGTTGCACTCAAATCTTCGCCTTACCATCTCACTGCACACCTTTGAACTTCCAACTGTCAGCCTCTCTTTGCCTGAAGGCTTTCTTTGACAGTGAAAGCTCTCTACCCATGATCACAGCAGCCCAGAAATGCCAGGAATTGTGAGCTTCCCCACCTCCGTTCTCTGCAGCCAGCCAGTAACCCGTGGGAGTTGATGTATCAATCAGCTAGCTCCATAGGTTTTTGGATAGGATAACCTGGATGTGGATATGTCTTCTACTGGCTCCCAGAATTCTACAAAGGGATTATATTCCAGTTATCCACTTGAGGAACTTGACTTATACTACATCCACTATCAGCTGTCTTTCCTTCCCTGACTCTTTGTCCTACTGAAAGGCATTGAATTCTTGTCACAGGTTCTGCTTCTATAGCAGTCCAAATTAAGATTCCAATAGGCTCCTATTTATCTTCAACACCTATCATGGTGCCTAACCCATAGCAGAAATTACATATATACAAACATATATAACATAATATTGTATAAATTTGTTACATATATAATTTTAATTGTATGTAATTATATAGTATAATTGCTTGTTTTGTATATATAGGTAATGGTTACTATATATAATTTCTGAACAGAGGTGTCAATTGTATGTATAACTATATATATAATTACAATATATAATTATAACCTTACAAACTATGATTATATATAAAGCAATTATGCTATATAGGGTATAATTATTTAATTCTGCCATATACATAGATTGTGGAATAGTATTGACAACTTTAAAAGCCATGGTATGAAGATGTGGTGAAGGTGGAAGTGGAGATAAGGAAAAGTTGTTACAGGCTTGGCTTGTATATAATTCAGCTTTAGGTTATGTTTTAACATTGGATGGCAATGCTAAAGAGACACATTCTTCTCTATGATTTGTTGCTTCTTGGAGATAGTGTGAAAATTTT